TAATGTGGTTTCGAGCAGTAATTCTCAGGACGTTAGTTTTTCATTGTTCAAAGAACTAAGCAGCCTAACTAATCTATATAAATTTATATATATGTTTAGGAAAAACAGTGCCAAACACTACAAACGAAATAGCGAGCGCAACTAGTCAAGACACTAAACTGGGATCAGCATATTAAGCAGGAGTTATCTAGTATAAATTGGAAATGTGCCAATTCAATCCACAGACTATGCAAAACAAGAACCATGAAAAAAAAAAAAAAAAAATTTTAATTAATGATATAGAGTATACATTCCAGATTTAATATTAAAAATGCATTGATAAATAATATTCTGTCTACCACATTTAAAACATTTACTTATACCTAATCTCCGAAGCATCAAATCTGAAATATCAACAGAATTGCATTGAAATATTTATTTAATCAAATATTTTGTCCATGGGTCTAAAAACTGTTATGTTTAGTAAAAATATATATATTTTTACTTTGTTAATGAGCGCTAATGATTATCCTAACCTTATAGCAAAGCAAGTCTTTTATAATATTGGAACTTTAATAAAAAAATCCTCTATTTACCATACCCTCAAGAGGTGTATAACCGTTTAGATTTATCTAAAGAGAATGACTATAGTAATTCAATTTATATAATTGTAGTTCAGGTTATATATAATTTTTACCTCAGTAGAGTTTATTCTTATCTTTTTACATATTTAGTATTGTTTTGATTTGTTTCAATAGAATTGTTTTGAGATACACAGAAAGTTAATATATTTATATGTATAGATATAAAAATACATAAACATATGGAGATAGACTCTCGGCAAATGAATGTCAGATGAATAGAAATACCTAATTATATATCTCTTTTTGAGACACAGTCAGTTGTAACACCAAGTCAATATACTCTTCTAAACGCGTGAGCGGGATAAAAAGAGGCAGACAGAGATGAAGGGAGAGATAGGGGAAAGGGGACCATTTGTGTATCGATTACACAATGTCGGCTCTCTCATGGGACGCTCGGAGAATTTCCCAGGCGCTGATGATCTGGGGCCCCCCTCTGGGCCAATCAACCAAGTAGCCGGCCATTGATGACAGTTGAGTTTCATTTTCTTTTATACATCATATCATGTCATATCATATCATATACATATACATACAAATATGTATATAAGAACATATTTATTTCTTTTTCTTTCGTATTCTTTGGCATTTAGCAGTGAGACGGTCGCAATCAGCAATGTGCTCAGGTAGTAGATACGGTAGATTACTCGGGTTCCATTCTGATGTCTTACTTTTTTTCATCATCATCATCGCTTTGGCTCCGGCCGTTGGCGGCGGCGTAGACCGAATTGTTTAGACCCGATTGCTTCTGCTGCGTGCGCTTATCGAGCTGAGCTGGAGAGAGGCGAGGGGGGCACCGGAACCGCAAAAGCCACAAACAGCGTCGGCTCTGTGAGGTATACATATATATTTATATATATACATACATTTTTTTTGCTTCTCTTTCCTTCTATTTAGTTTTTTATTGTTTGGGTTTCGGTTTTTGGTCAGCAAAGCTAGCCAGTCCGTCGACTCATTGAGGTCTATGACCATTCGCAAACCAAATGTCGCTTATCGCGCGTCGCTTGGAGACGTCGCTGATACCGCCACCGGCGGTGGGTGCCCTGTTGGCCACCCAAGCCTAACCCCCGCTTGCTGTTGCACCTGTGATCCGCGTTAACGGATCGCATTACGTTTGGCTTTGGCAGCGGCACCTGAGAAACCCACTGGGCAGTTAACTAGTCAGACAGACAGACAGTTAGACAGTTAGACAGACGGTCAGTCAGCAAGCCAGCGAGCATGACATAAGATTATTAAAGAAAAGCAGTTAAATATGTTGCATGGGGCATACCCGACTGCTAGATATCTGCTGGAATACAGAGTCTATAAATATGCAATGCATGGATTATAGAATATATGTATTTGGTAAATACTTTTTAATCAAAATACTAAAAAATCTAAAGCCTTTTTTTTTAAAGATATTTTAAATTTATTAGGAAAGTTTTTACTATCAACATTTCTGGATAAATTGATAAATGAATTTCTTAAGCTGTATAACTGGTTTGGTTTTGGTCTTTGATAATAAGCCCTAAAAATTATTATTATTATTGGAGCACAAAGTCTCGTTACGGCTTGATTTATAGTTTCAGAAAACTACAACAAAACGAGGGGAAAACGTATATGTTATAAAAACTTGAACTGAAGGCGTTTTCTTTGCTTTTCTTCTCACATTTATAGACCCATTTGTCCCGTTTAATGGGTATGAAAATAAAAAATAAAACGCTAGCCCAGAAGACGCTTTGAGCGCCGATTCAGTCTATGGGCATTCACTTGTGTTTGCTCTGCGTTTGTCTCTTCTCTCTTCTCTCGTTGTTCGTTTTGCCTCTAGAGTCTATGTGCTGTACGTTGCTCTACAAATTTGGGAGTGTACGCAATAGAGCCGTCGATTATGCATATATAATTAGCTGCCTAATTATACAATTGCAAATTATGATCTAACACACAAAAAAATTTTTTTTTTTTTTTTTTTTTTTGGTTCAGGAAAATTGTAGTGCTTCACAATGAACACAAAAGTTATAATACAATGCAACGGTACTTTTTTCCGTTGTAAAAGAGAAATGGATTTTTGGATTAAAATCTAGTGCTTAAAAGAGAAATTGCTAAAAAATCACAATACTATTTAACACAGCTTGAAATATTTTCTAACTAGAGAAATGTTCCTCAATGTCTAATAAATCTAATATAAATTCAAATTTATATTGATGATGTTTTGATCATACAAAACAAATGTATATTAAAACATGATAATAGTACAAGTAAATAAATACTAAGCGCATAGTTAAAATTAGTCATTGATTAATATTAGTCTCTTACTGGGCATGTATAATCAAAATCAATTTATCACTAAAACAAACATACATATATACAAATAATATATGCATTTTGTATATGAATAATGAAACAATTTCATATTCAATCAAGCTAATTTTCAATCAAATTCATTAGGCAATATCAAAGGGGAGTGTCTTTAACGATATCAAATGATGATCGATAATCGATGCTGATTAAGCCGTTAGCTTGATTAACTAAATCGTTTTGCATTGTTAATGTCATATTTAACTAAACAGTAGCCAATTAATGTCAACGTAGAGTGCTTAGTTAGTCGTTGCTCCTATTCATGCCTCGTCTCTCCCCCTCCCATTATACCCCTTTCCATTCCAGTTTTCATGCTCGAAATATGCTCTGTGTGTGTGAGTGTGTTAATGTTTGTGTGTGTTTGTCGCACGCTTTGTTCGCATTTCTACCATATGCTAAACATTTCGCGGCGCTTGTATAACACTCTTTTATTGTTCGCTTGTCAAGAAAAAAAAAAAAAACCTATCTTTAATCCGTTTTCCTTTCGTTTCTCAATAAAAAAAAATTATTTATTAGAAAAAAAAAAGAAAAAACAACTCAAATTGGTTTCATTTTTACTCTAGCTATTTAGGTAAAAATAGAAACTAACGTTTTTTTTTTATTGTTGTTCATTGTTTGTCGTCGTGTTGCTGTTGTTGCTGTCAGTTGTTATTGTTGGATTTCTAAATAAATTCGTGTTTAATATTTATATATCGCTAGTTAATGATTTACGTTTTGCTTTCTTAGTGTATTTGTTGTCTGTGGCTTAGAATTGGAAAGTGAATTTAACAAACAAAAATTTCACTCAGACTATATAATTAATGAGTTTTTAATTATCTCCAAAGTTCGCCTGCCAGCCAGAGATGGCGGGCAACGATAGATAAAGATGGTTATAAATTGTAATAATTGTTCAACACTTACCCGCAAGAAATGCAATGCAAGAGGCAGCTGCAATCAACAGTAATAATCAATCAACGGTATATTTAACATACATGTACACACATACATGTATACATATTTATATGTTTGTTATTTGTGTGCGCGCGTATGGGTTTTATTTTGTAGTTTTGCCAATACACTAAAATGCCGTTAGACGAGCACGTTGTTTAACACATACACGCATAGAAACACTCTCTCTTTCACTCCTGCAATTGTAATAAGAAATTAAAGAAATGGAAAGGACTTCATAAAAATACATATCCTTTGCTTATGCACATACACATGAAATATATAAATAAAAAAAAAAAGTTTGAGTCAAATTAAAAAAAAAAAAATCATATTTATGTTTGAAACACAGCTGCTGTTGCACCAACAGCAACGACTGCGACTGCGACGTCGGCAGCGAAGCGCACGTTAATTGCATTAGAAATTCGTATGCGTGTCGGGAATGAAGCCTTGCAAGACCTCAAATAAAAAAATAAAAACCAACTAATTAGCAATTATTTGCGGCGGAGCTTATTTTAAGCATTTCTTTGGCACAACAATTCCAATTAGACAAGAGCAGCGCAAATGCCATTTGTTATTGTTGTTGGTCTGCTAGTCCCGTTATTTCTCACACACACACATAAACAGCATTGGCGTAGAGCACAAAGAAATGAAGAGGAGGCTGAGCGGCAGACTTTGTGACCTCGACTTCATCTCGGACTGCACTGCACGCTTGATAGCCAATTAATATTCATTAAATAGATTCCGAAGATGTTGCTGTTGTTCTTATTTTATTTATAGACGAAATGCAACGCGACATACAAATAATAGGTCAGTACTGACAGCAACCGTTGTCAAGCTTATTGGATGTACTATTCAAAACACGAACACACGCGCTTATTAATACTTCTTTTAAATATTCTTGCTTCTATAATTTTTTTATTTATTGCAGACGCCTTTGCTGCTCGTATGGCAGCAGCATTGACTTTGCTTGTTTGTGTTTGCTGCAGCGGCGTCTGTTTCTGTTCACTGTCAGTGTGACCGTTTTATGATTTACGTAAAAATACCAAGACGCAACGCAGTATTCCATATTTAGATTATTTAAGCTAAAATTTATTTTGCAATATACACACAAAAAAAAAGGGAACATTACATTAGGCAAATTACCAACTAAATTATTAGTAAAGTTCAGTCCTTCACACGCTTAACGTCTTTTGAGTCGTATGGTACTTCCTCTACTTTGGTAAATCCTGAGAAACGTAGAATTTTGCCGGTACCTTCCGCTCGAATATGTCTGGAAAATTGTTGTGCCGGTGATAGGGCCATTTCCTCCTCCGTTTTGTAGCCATAATACTTGGCCCAATCGTTGCGGCCAGTGTACACCATATAGCATACAAAGCCGAACGCCTGCCAGGCTAAAATTGCGTAGCCAATACTCAAGCGACGCTTCCACATCTCGGCACGTTGTTCCGGTATTGGATTTGTGTGTCGACGTACGAAGCGACGCAGCCATTTCATTTCAAATAATGCCATTTCTTATGTTTTACGTTACGATTTGTTATATAAACTTTTTCTATCTTGAGTTTAGCAACACGATATTCAGAATTATAAAATAGAAGGAAAACAGCAATCAGCTGTTCAACGATAGAGATGTGCGATGTTCTGAATAATTAGAGTTGCCAAGGAGCATCGAGTCAGTCAGTGTAGTTGCCTGCAATTAACCTCAGTCTACTTATTGTAGCACTTCATGATTATTAATGTCCTATTTATTATAGCTGTTTTACTGAATACATTAATACGTCTGTTATGTCCTCATCCACTGCCGTCATTTACCGCCAACCGTCCAGAGTATTCAGCTCTGTTCAGCACCACTAAGAGTAGCTCATTTAAAAGAGCAAACCACAAAAACAATTAAATTACTTATCAAAATTAATGTATCTATATGAAGCGATCATTATGGAATATCTATATAACAATCTAACAGGATTATAAATTCATATTAGTTGACCATCTGATTGGTATCCAATTTTAGAACAGGTGACAACTCCTTCAAACGAACGGTGATAGAATTTTGTTTTTGTTATAACATAACATAAAAAAGATACAAAAACTCCATTTTCAATTTCAATTTGTCAAACGGCATCTTGATGTACATACGTCTCATTTAATCGAGCAACGAGGGAGTAAATTTGTAATATAATTTTCTATGTACAAATGGTGTAAAGTAGGCTTTCACGATATTTTGATATTCTCAAACAGAAAGGAAACATTTTCAGTCATTTGCTGCCACTCTGCAAGATGCCTACTGCGCAGCAGACGTCTCAGCAGCAGCAGCAACAGCAGCAGCACCAACAGCAACTTAGCAACGATGAGAGCAATGGAGTTAGCCCAGAACTGAAACCTGAGGAAGAAAGTATGCCAAATTTATCAACTCTATCGTTAGATGAGCTGAAGCAGCTTGATCGAGATCCCGAGTTTTTTGATGATTTCATTGAGGAAATGTCTGTGGTACAGCATTTAAACGAGGAACTTGATTCCATGATGAATCAAGTGGAGAATATATCACGTAATTAGCAGCTGAAACCACACAACCAAACAGAACTTTTCCAATAAGAACTTAATCAATTTTGCAGGTGAAAATGAGAGCAAGGGCACGCATTTAGTCGAATTGAAACGACGGCTTAGTGACGATTATACGGCACTCAAGACGCTTGGTGAAAAATGCGATCTACTAAATAAGAAGTACTTAAAGAAATCGGAAGAATATGCGCCGCAGCACATTCGTGTAAATTGTGCAAAGATATTGAAATCGTGTTATCTGATTTGTAACCGTTAACGTTTTTTGATACAGGAGCTACTGCAAATAGCCGCATCGAATGCGGATGGTGATTGTGACCGACATGTCGAGCATTTTCTGAATGGTAAAATTGATGTTCAGACCTTTCTCAACACCTATCAGAGCTCCAAGAAAATTAGCGCTGAGCGCAAGGCCAAGGAGGAGAGACTGGGCAGCCAGCTAACTGCATTAGAACGTGCTGGAATATAAGCAGTAAACAGAGGATGATGTAACTACAATAACTTTCTCCCTCTACTTGAGCGATCGCCTTACTCATAATTGTTTTATACTGTTTGGTTCATTACAAAGCCGCAATATATACATACATATTGAAGATTAAGGAAATAGCCGTGTATTGTAGAATTTGATCGCTTGAGATGTGTGTAAAATCTAGTTTATATTTATATTTACATAATTAGTCGTTAATAGCAGTTAAGTCGATAGGGCAATCAAATTTTGGTTAGTTGCATTTTACTATAAAATTTGTGTAACAATTATTGTATCGTACTTGTCGACTGTGTGCGACTGTCCATATAATTAATTATCCAAAAGAATGTGTGTATATGCATGTACCAAGGAATTATAACGTGTATGACTTAAATATATTTACAAACATTCAAGTTTCAACTGAATTGTGTTCTGATTAAATATTGGATGAACCATGCCATGGGGTTTTAAGTTATATAGCTTGTGAACTGGGTGTGCTTTTCGTTAACAATAGTGTGCGTGTCAAAATAAGTAGAAATACAAACAAATTGTGTTTTATCAAAATTTATTCGTTTTTCTGCTAACTTCTCATTTTCAATAGTCTGCCGCCAAAAGTCAGCTGACTTGTGTGGCAACGCTGCGTTGTATGGATCGATAGCACACTTTCAAGAGTTAGCAAACACTAAAACATTGATCGGTGTTTCTAAATAGCATCATTAATCATTTCCTTCCCGCCAATATCGCAATTGCTGCCCAGAGTAGCAAGTTAACAAAAATTTGTCAAATCGGATAAAATAGATTTGTAAGTATGAAAAAATGTATACTTTGTCGCTCAGCTTCTGAAGATGAACTGCATCTGGGCAAGCTATATGTTCATGGAGAAATTATCGTCCATCAAAACTGTCTAGTACGTATAAAGGAAAATCAACCAAACGAAAGCCGAAATATATTTACAAGTGCGTTCAATTACAGTATTTGAGCTCCAATCTTGTGCAACGGGGCAATGCGCGCAATGGCATTTTAAATTTTACATTTAAGGACATTTTGACTGAATCGGAACGTACCAAATATATCGTAAGTCATTTGCAAATTTTATGCTTCTCAGCCGCAGCTTCGGCGAAAAGACCTTGAAAATTGTTTATGCGTGTAATTCTTGAGAACTGCATAGAAGAAGAAAAAGCCGCATAGTGTGCGTGCAATCGTTGAGCGTTCAAACTAAAAATTAACGTATACATACACACATACATGGCAATCGCGTATAGGAATTCATACGCGTCTCTACATAGAAAAGTTTTTCTTTTCACATTCGTAGCATCGATCTGTAATAAATAAAATTCCTACATATATATTTTACATATTTTTTTTTTTTTTCTTAAAAAACATTTTTACATATACATACAAAATCTTCCCGTTGCAGTACTGCTGCTTTTGTCACAGCGGTGGAGCAAACATTGGCTGCTGCAATTTGGGCTGCCGTAGAAGCTTCCACACTTGTTGCGGAATAGAGAATCGTGTTCAAAATCAATTTATTGGAACATTCAAATCGTTCTGCAATATGCATGTTAATACATACAGTGAGCGCCCCAAACCCGATGAGAAATGTGTGATTTGCTTTGAAGACCTGTTGAAGAAGAGGGAGCGATTCTGTCGCACCCAGCACATTCATGGCAAGTGCTGCAAGAATGGCTGGTACCACAAGGACTGCTTGCAGCGCTACGCCAATTCGGCTGGCTATTTCTTCAAGTGTCCTCTATGCAACGACGTCAACCAATTTAAAATGGTTACTTTCTGGGGCATCTCAGTGCCCAATCGGTAAGTTTAATATAAACAAATCTCTCTCCCGTCAGTTTTCCATTTGATTGCTCTCTGCTGCAGCGATGCATCGTGGGAGGACAATGATGCGTATGCCGATCAGATGGAGATACCCCTTGACTGTGTTGCCCAAAATTGCGTCAATGCGGCTGGACGCAAGGGTAGCTTGCAAACTTTATTATACTGTCTCTTGTGTGGCTCGAATCCGGTGCATACACTTTGCACATTGATGAAGACCGAAAACTATTGCTGTGAGGCCTGTTCCGTCGTTTTACGTAAGCCCGACGACACCACGTCTGACAGCGAGGACACTGATGAGGATCCACTTGAACAGTTCGTTTATAGGTCAAATGCAGTAAGACCCACAAACACAGCCCCTCAGACAGAGACACCGGCAACGCAGACACAGCCACAGCCACAGACACAGACACACGCCAATGCAGAATCCGACTCCTCGGATTCGGATTCAGATTCAGATTCCGACTCGGGCTCTGATTTTGACTATTATCTATCAAAATTTCCACAGAATGGAAATGATAAGGAGAACGTAGACAGGGCACTTGCAGTGCCAACCACAACAGCAACAGCCACAGCATCACCAGCACAGGCATCCCCAGCACCAATAGCACCAGCATCACCAGCACCAGCATCACCAGCACCACCAGCACCACCAGTATCAGCAGTATCAACACCATCAACACCATCACTACCATCACCACCACCTCAACTACAACCAATACCAATACCGGCTGAACCACAACCACAAGCACAGCCCCTTAACATTAATATGATTCCGTCCATTGATGAACCGTCGCGCATGCGCAACAATCGTCAAGGAGCTTCGAGCGCTCGCCGTGCTCAAAATACTGTTACTGAACCGAGGCGTTTGCGTTCACGTTCAAATCACACTCGTGGACGCAGGTCTCCATCAACCGAGCCCGTGGATCGGCGCAACAACAACAGGGAGCGCGGCTCCATCCGTAACCGTCGTCGCTCTTCGAGCGATACCCAGAATACAAATACAGTGACTTCGCGCGGACGCCAGCGCGTTCGCACATTTGGGTCGCAGGTGCGCAGCCATGGCCCTTCGCCATTTGATATCTCGTGCGTGGCAAATCGCACTCGCGCTCGTTCGCGCAGGTAAATTACTGGATCAGAAGCTGGTACACTATATATCAATGAAATGATATAAGATTTTTCCTTCATGAATGTTATAGTATTATATAAGGCGTTGATAGTTCTGTATTCCACATATCAGATGCAGGCTTTTTTTTTATAGTTAGTATTTTGTTTTTCATGTTATGAATATTTTTATGTTTGTATACATTAGATAGAGAAGGAGAGAGAACTGCATCTTGCTCATGTTCATAGCAGACGTTGAGACTTGAATAATCTTTACCACTATGGAGTATCAAAATATAAATTTAAATATATATGAGGCACTCATGCGCCTCATATTTTTT